CATTGAGCTATGTCACATGATTGATTTCCAAAAATAAAAAAAATGATCTAAATGAGATAAGCATTATCTGTTAATCCATTTGTCATTTTTACCTCATAGGCCATGACCTTAGTGTGAAGTGTATGAAAAGATGTCACTTAGAGCAACATTTAGATGTACCCTATTTCATGCAATGATGTTTATAGATAGAGTTATATATGTTCCATAGATGGCATGATATATTCTACATGTGCTTAATACCCTGAGTGTGTATTCATTGTTGCATAATTGTGTATTATAGAAATGAGCATGAATGGATATGTCAACATGACTGTGTCCTGTAAAGTATGTTCAGTAAAACATAAATGTGTTTATATGCACACTAGTATCTTGTTGACCTATATTCAGCACTGTATTGATGTATAGGCCACTTATTAGGGTCATAATTCAATCATGAAGTGTAGAGGCATAGATTCCAAACCAGGAAGTATTTTTATGTCTGTCAAAATCCATTTGCATCCTAAGCATCCCTACATCTTATCCACATATGTTACTACATAATGAAACATAATAGTATATTCTTTGGTTTTACAAAGTTGTATGATTTTTGATAAGTGTAAAAGTTGTTTTTGGAGCATTTTTCTATAGCCATTTTGTAGGGGGAAAAAGATGAAAAAATGCACAATCATTTAATTTTAAGTATGACCTGAATCGATTGCAAACTTCATATTTGCACATTTGATGAGATAAATCATTTGTGTCATATTATGAAATTATTAAGGTTGCAGTCGATTCAGGTCATAGTGTATCTTTAGTATTTTGGTGATAATCAATTGAAACCAATGGCCTCTATAGGGATCTGCTGATATCCTCATGTTAAGTCAATGATGCACAGTCCCATGTAAGTCAATACAACCTTACTGAACTAAATGGCCCCTATCTCAGCCTATATTTTCCAAAGAGTTATAACATTCTATTCTTCATGTTACACCTAAGAATTATTTATTTTGACCATGGGGATATTATTTGCCAATAAACGCGCCTGTTCTTTTTATTGGATTGTTTTTGCTGCTTGGGATTTTTATGGAATAAACAGTTTAATGCTATGGGTTTTACCCTTTGACAATAGGTGTATTGCCTTGTGTAATTATGATATTGTCACTCGATCACTCTATTCCCTCAGTCAATACCTCGGGCTTTGTATGAAAAACCTTATACCTCGTACCCACGTACCCGCGTACTTGGGGCATGATATATTCTTTGAAGAGTTTAATTCTAAGGTTTCAGATTATTCAGATTATATGAATTGTTGGTGCATTAATGCACTTGTAGACCTACATGTTTGAATGGCGCTATTTTGACAATCAATGAAAAACTAACATTAACAATTCTGGCTTTATTTTATGACTCTATATCTATCTATCTTTGACTAGACGAATTTCACATCTATGGATACTATGAATGTATTTATACCTCAGATAGCATTAGATTGAATAATCTTTTAGAACTTTAAAAATTGAACCCTTCAAAACTGTATCACCACCCATGTACATGGGTATGCGATACGAATGTCACCACCTTGTAGTTTAAGTCAAATCCTGAAAAGAAAAGGTTATTTGAAGCAAGTTGAAAAATGCCTTTTTAAACTTTTTGAACTTGAGAGGTCATATGTCAAATCAAAAGTCAGATTTGACTTCTGAGAACTTGTAGGTGATTTTGAAAAATTCGGTCAATTCGAAGCAAGTTGAAAAAAATACCTTTTAGACCCTCTTTAATTTGAGGTCATTGGCGGTCAATAATTGTAAAATCTAAAGTCAGATTTGAATTTTTTGAGACCCTGACGATCATTTTGAAAAAATGATCAATTTGAAGACTTGTTCACCTTCAAGAATGTACAGTAGTAAGAAAGAGGAGTGCATTCTTGTTGTATTGTTTTTAGAGAATGGACACTGTAAGCTATCTAAAACCAGTGTGGTACAAAATATGATTGACAGTGTTTGGCTCAATATTACACCTTGACTGTCACATGCAGTGCACCGAAGCTGTACTTATTAAACCATTTTCAATCACCCAATAGTTGAATTGTAAACACAAAATAAATACACTTTTTAACTGTACCTTGCCTGATACATGCGGTGCATTGAAGCTGAACCAATTAAAACAACCCACTTCTCTACACATTTACCTCACAGTTAATACAAAAGAATTTTTCTAAACTTGGATCATGGGTCATTAACCCTTCCTAAGAGTCAGTGTGGGTTTTAAGTTAGATAAATTATTCGAAATGGGTCTTATGAGAACTAATAGCCTCAGGCCAAGCCCCTTTGCTATTATTTCTAATAAAACCCAGTACTCATAGTTTATCCATAACTGAATGAACGATTAGAGGATTCAGTGACCTTCTATAAAATTACAAACTGTAAAACTATAAACTATAAAAATGCTTTTGGGTTCAATGACTGCCACATGCAAATTTCGAACGGAATGCGTGACATGTGTTTTTCTACAGAAATATTTTTGCTTGACAATTACCAGGTAAAATGCGTATTTGCGTGACATTTTCTGTAACGCAAAAATAACTGGCGTGACTTCAAATTCTTCAGCAAATGCGTGACAAATACGCAAATTGCGGGACAGTTGACAGGCCTGCATCTAATATAACACCATTGTAATTAAGAGCATTATTGAGTGGATTTGACCTAGGATGAAGAAACTACAAAGGTGACCATGGGCTTTGAAACCCCCTTACAAGTAGTATTCGCGAATTCAACTAACAGCTGCCAGATCAACCTACTATTTTATGGCTCATTAGATATAAATAGCACCTGCCACTATTCATTCGTATTAAAATGAATTTGCCATCAACAGTAGGTTAAATCATCGCCTTTTACCCAACATATGACATTATGAATACTATCAAAGTGTAGTCTAATACCGAGTGAGACAAAAATATAGCCCAAACAAATTCCGCATCTGTTAAAGTGTTATTTCGCATAATAAAACCTTGTTTAATGTTCTTTCATTTTACTAAGTTTAATTATTACCACCAGTTCTAGGGGTTTTAGTGCTAGTTTAGAAGGCGTTCATTTTACTATGTCGACCTAAGAAATGTGTGACGTCATAGTGGTGGTCCATATGGACCGGTCTAGAATATATTCTGGACCGGCAATTTTTCCCCGGGAAATTAGATATCGTTCAGTGCGTAAGATTTTCTTGCTATTTCAGCCCTGGTCGTTAACGGTGGTAATAATACGAACAATATATAATGCGAACAATATAGTGACATATTGGACCTTGGGCCTTTGGCCCTCGGTCCAATATTTCACTATATTGCCCTTAGAAATGTCGTTATTATCGACTCTGCCCAAATAGTCTTGGATTTTATGGCTATAAAACGAAACATGGTCCAAAATGCCAGCCTCATCTCATGACTATCTCTGAGATAATGTCAACCCCTACAACAAGTAGGAGAACAATTTCTGTGATGGTGACCTTACATTCTCAACCGACCAGTGCAGGTCTGCCTGAAGGGATGAGGCTGAAATTTGTAGAATGGCCATAGAATTGTGACCTTGAGGAATGGACCCATAAAACATGGTTAAATACAAAAAGATTTTACATGGTAAAATTAACTAAATATGATTTCAACTCATACTGGATGAATGAGCTAATAACATTTCTTTGGATGACATTTTTTGCCTCACCCTGTGATTCATTTTATTTTTACACTTATTCATTTCAGCCTGCCCAAACAAAGAGTCTAGGTTGAATAGCCAAAACCAGGCACATGTAATTAGAAAGAACTATTCAGTATATAAATAGCTCTACGTGAATGACACAACTGTTTTATACACAAACAATTGTCAAGGTAAAATACAGGATTAAGGCAATCCATAAGGCTGAGTAAGTCACTATCCGAGTGTTTGAAACAGCGAAACAAATTATTCATGACACTTAGCTGCCCTCTATTTTGTAATTGTATAATATAAGTATGAAGCACCTTATAATATCAGAAAAAATCCGAAAAAATCACGAAAAAAAATACCAAAAAGTAGGTTCATAATTAACTTTTCCCCTTTACAGTTTAAATCATGTCTGAAAGTTCAATACAACTTTGCACTAAAAATTATTAAAAAGGCCTGCACTTTTGGTGAAAATTGCGTCTGAATTAGGGGAAATTGGTGAGGATGGGTGGATTAGGGACAGCTTAAGAGATAATCCAATCATTTTGATTATCATCCTAATGTCATTTATTGAAGATAAGACATGGATCTAACAGAACCATTTGATTTTGTGGTTAAATTATTCTTCGAACTAAAGATATAGCCCTTTGAAAATGGCTTGCCATAACTAACATGCTCCTTTGGATGTATTGGAAATAAAGTCAAGTTATGTTTCCATCAATATTATAAGTTATTACATCGCAGGTTAAGTAAATAAAAATTCAAACGTAAAGAGGCTTTAACACGTAGTTCAATGGGGGAGCTAAGGTTGCCAAACTAATGGAGGGGAGTGTCTATAACATTTTTGATTTTTTACAGCCATTCAGAAAAATTACAATTTCTCTGCACCGTGTCCAATCAAGATCGTTTGAGTACCTTTGCGTTCCTTAGACGTATCAACCCATGCAGACAGATTGCCTAAAATTACATTCGTGTGATGCGAGACTCGACATTCACCATTCATTTGTATAGGTTAAGCGTGGTATGACAGAGCACTTGAATATGCAGGCTTTAAGATGTATAACCTTTTTTTATTTTTTTGCGAGACTCGACATTCACCAGGAAAGTAGAAACATTTTGTCACCCATGAAGCAAATTATTTTTTACTGCTTAGGTAGATGGTCAGGGATAGTTACATTGAGTTCTATCAATATGAAAACATCATGGCATCTTGATATTTCAAGGTAACTCGTTTGAATGATAGCGGTGATCGAAATTACGATGTAAATATAAAACCGCAATGAAATATTTGTAGATTTCTTTGAAAAACTAAGAAATAAACATCACATATCGAATTATATATGACAATGTAGTGGTCTGACTTTTTAATATCTTTTTAAATAGTGAAATGAAATTGCCCCGCATAACGCACATGTAAGTTGCTATGGCAACAGAATACACGTACAATCATTGTTAGAAGTAATAAATATAATCCAGCAAAATGATGCCTACAATCTCATCTTTTTAATGTGAATTTGTCACAGTTAACAGTCAATTATCCCTTTCTCCATCACTGTTTACACGTGGACTGCTGTCGATTACGTTTTGGTGGATACTTCCTCCAAGAATTTGTATCTTCTACGTTTTCTTTTTTATCGCATTAAATTGAACTCTTGCATTAATAGTTGAGTTCAGTGAAATCAAAATCCATGTGTAGAGTTGTTTAGATTCAACAGTTTCGAGAAAGTAACTTACATTTCGGATACCATCAAGTTGACTCACTTCCAATGAGAAGTCTGATATCATCTTCAACTGGTGTACATTTGTAGGATTATCCTTGTCTCTTTTATGGCGCTGCATGAAATAGGAACAATCTTCCATTTTGCACGTGTTAACTGTTATATTATTGGCTTCCAATCGTAATATGAAGTCGGTGTCCTCCCCACCCCAGCCCCAGAACGCATTGCTATATCCGTTGACCTTTCGGAACATTTTCGGGGTCAATGACACAGCGCCACCTGTTAACCTCCAAGCTGGACGTTTGTAGTTGTACTTACTTACATGCTGGGCGAAGTGTATAGCACTGCTGTCATTCCTACAACCGTATACTGTTCTGTCATTTTCTGGTAACATGTCAACATCATGAAAAATGTAACAGTCGAACATTTTTGGAAATATCCTTGTTGTTTCGTTGAAACCGGCATTCATTAACGCTGCTTTGTTAAATATTCTTGGCGACTGTTGCTCAATGACAAATATTCTATACGATACTCGTTGGTGTTGCAAGAAAGGATGCATGTAGCTTAAGAATTGTCTCAGATGATCTACCCTGTCTCGATATGGAATGATGATCGCCACATGGTGTTTTGGGTTACATCCGTTTGGTGTCCAATGGCCACCAGGATGTACATTTTGAAGAACTCTGTTCAATTTGTCATTTGATAATTGGCGTAATGGAAGAAATATACCCTTTCCAGCTTTTCTTATTGTACCTTCACAATCGGGCAAGATCTTCAAATCGCCCTTGCTTTGTTCCTGAAATATATCAGCAATTGCATGTTTAGCGACCTCGGTGTCAACCGACGACATATTCACGATGTTTTGAGGGAGGTTTATTTTATTTATCATCACATCTGTCAAAGTTTCATTTTTCCAAGTTTCTCCGCGTGATAGTCCAGTGTATCGTAATTGTCTCAATGACATCACACTGATGATAATCACAACTGGTGTATACAAACATACCAACTTACGTAGTCCTCGTTGCATTTTATCTAAATTCCAAGATGATTGAAACTAAAACGGTGAAACGTATGTAATGTCTGCATATATGTATACATGCATATCGAATGTTATCTAGTCACAAGATTTCACCAAATTATCCATAGAACATAGTCCAAATAGATTCTTTGATTTTGATGTTATCGTTTCTCAAATGAGCTATTTCAAAATTTTAGTACCATCATTCCAGTTCTCACTCGATGTATTGCCAAAATCTTGATACACATTGACATTGCCTTGGCTCACCCTGTATGTTTTAAAACTAAATGTTCGTCGAATTTGAGGAGTTTCGACTCTCGATTTTCAGACAGCAATATTTCGAATCGGGACAAAAATATCGAAATGATGTCAAGTTTTAAACCGTCTCCAAGGCATGCACCCATGCACATGACTTGTGGTGATACATTTTATGAAAACCTTCTCTTTTTCACAATCTCTCGTTTACACTGGTTAAATTTCCATCCATTTAATAAAGCGTTTATTATGTTTTGAGTTGTCGCTTAGACTAATCCATATGATGCATGTAAAGGTATTGTCCTATCGATCCCAATGAACGGGCTCATATTGTCCATGATTTGCTATTATGGGTGTGGACTTCTATGGTTAACTCCCAAAATACAAACGTTCGAAGGTCTACCAATATTTGTTTTAACCACAGTAGTTAAAATATAATTAACTGCTTTCACCTGAAACTTCACCTTTTATGAAACAAATCAATTGAACAAAATTGAAAAGAATGAGACTTTCTTCAAACTTGAACAGTGTTCCAATTCAAACATTCAATGCCTATTCCATTGTAGTATTGCACGTATTCCTACAAAAAAAGCAAGCACTATACTGGTTGTTTTAAGGTGAATGATATAAATAAAACATAAAATGTAAAGAGTATTGAACTTTGAACAATAAGAAGGGCCGCGCAACTGTACAATTGAAAATCTTATTCAGGGTATAGTATATCACTGGCATCTGTGCTTCGGATACAAAGAGGTTATTTTTAAAGGCCCACTTTGGGAATTTTCAACATTTTTGGGCAAAATAAAGACTTGCATTTGTATTTCATAGTATGTCCAATGTATTGATAAGAAATTATCAAAAAATATTTTCGATCTTTCAAGCTTTATACAGTCAATATGGTACAACGAAAATGGGACTTCTGCGCATGTTAAAATTTTTCGTCAAAACTCAACTTTTGTTCAAGTTGATACGATTGTCTTTCGAACTAGAGACTTACCTCATTCGAAAGATCATAAAAGACTTTATCTATACTGAAAATCTTAGATCCAAACATAGTAGAATACGCCGTCAGTCCGCATTTGATTTTTTGAAGTGAGTTTCGTAGATCGTCAGATTTCTCCGACTGATATCGGGTTATCTCAAACTGGTTCGTTTATAAATACCAATTTCTTTACCGTTGTAAGGCGCATGCGCAAAATTGATTTATAAACCTTATTGGTTGATGGTTTTTCTCCTGCGCATGCGTGAAGTCTGTTGAACAATTATGACGAAGACCGGAGCAAACATTACTAGCTCTTGAACGAAATTCCAAGATTCAGGTCATTTCGCCGTGTTTGCTAAGCGTGTATACGTGAATGACAAGCTGTTTTGAGTAGATCGGGTACCTGTTTTAGACACAACATTGATTTAGCTTGACATTGATGTGCACATTGGCACTTTTGAGCATGTTAATACAAGTTTTTACACGCTTAGCACGAGACGGGTTTTCGAAAAATCTGTTATCTGATTCACTCGATTATCGTATGGATATGCATTTCTGCTGACATTTCAACACCACATCACATAGAATTACGATGCAGAATGATAATAAAACACAAAACAACTACTAAATTCCACTTGTTATTTCACAGGAGGTAAAAATGCAAACTGCCTAGATTCTTTGTAAGGGTCGTCAGACATCGGATTGGCCGCCATATTTGAAATGAAAATATCACTAAATAGAGGTCTGCGCATGCCTCAACATTTCGACTGTATATATCAAGTTTTTATCAATGTCATTGAAAGATGGCAACGTTGTTTACATGATACATTCATTTTTATAGAAGTGTCGCTATCTTTTAAATCAATAGTAATTAAAAACATGCACTTTGTTTAATATGTGCATGAATGTCTAATGATCTCTGAACTTCAAATGCTTTTTTCTATGTGAGTTATTTTTTCTTGGTTCAATATTAAAGCAAATCAAACTTTGTGTCATATTTGAGCAAGTGTGTGAGTAACATGTTTCAATGATTATATTTTATTTTTTATTCTAAATTAAATATAGTGTGCGTTAATCGGAGGTTTTTGAAAAAGGTATATCTGAGGGAAATACAATATAACTACCCGAGGGATCGTAGGGATATACTCTGTATCAAAAATCGAGCGTTTAATAACTGATTCATCCTATTACTCAAGGAGCGAGGAGGAAATTTCTCAATAAATGGTGTATAGTTGGTTTGGCAGCATTTTCAGTTAGGGGAGAGTCTTGGATGAAACTTCCACCTAGGTGGTAGCTTCGCAGAGTGGTAGGAAGTTTTTTTAGGGGTTAGCCCCAATGTTCACATTAAATAACCTTAGATATTTTGATGTTTGTAAGTGACATATATAGATAGCAGTATAATTGATGCTGATCACTCCTAAAGAATTTGAATATTACTACAAAATGTGTACCCAGGGGGCAAATTCGTGACACATTTTCTTACTATTTTGATCGTAACTATTCAATTAGATACTGTAAGATGTTGGAATTTAATGCATGTGAAGTGCCTAATAGCAGGATTAGTAACCCTGAAAGATGCATAGCCATGCATTGAAAAGGTAGGAGCTGAGTAAAAAATTGTTGATTCTTCAAAAAATTTGACATTTTTGACAGCTGGATTTTGTGTATGACTATAGACGACTCCTATAGTTTCTAGATCCATCCCTCTATGATTATGTTTATGGATTTATATTGTGGAACTAAGATGTAAAACATAATTTAGATTGGTTTTAAGGAATTTAAAGGTTTTAAACAAGTCCAAAATTTGTAAATATAAGGTTTCAAATTTACGAATGCCAGGTATAACCATGGCTGACCCCTATAGTTTCTAGACCCATCCCTCTATGATGATATTTATGGTTTTGTAGTGTGACCTAAGATGTAAAACATGATTTATATGGGTTATAAGGAAGTTAAGTGTTTTAAACAAGTCCAAAATTTGAAAAGTTGCAATTATAAGGTTTCTCAGATGACTCAGGGCTGAACCATGCATGACGTGGACAGATGAGCGCATCTTTATGTGCAAGGAAGTGGTGGCAATTTGAAGGGGTATAGGATGTATTCTTGCAAGGGTATGAGTATGAACACTTTACTGTCAATGCCACACCTGTCACACCTTCTTCCAATAGCCCCTATTCCCCTTGTACTGACTTTTGCAATGTTTGAAACTTGAGTCCGATCTGAATTTTACCCCACTTTGCAAAAGTAATAATTTTTTCGGCCAGCCATGACTCCCTGTGAATGAATGATATTCCATTGCAACGAGGAGTAATTTGGCTTTTTTGGTACATTGAATTAAAAGGATGCAGTCAGTATTGGTTTTATGTTTTCTTCCAATATTGCATTGGGCTCCGTACACTGACTTTTGCTATGTTTATAACTTGGTCCCAAGCTAATTTTGGCCCATTTTGCAAATGGAATTATTACTCGCCCAACCATGACCAAATATCAACGAATGATATATCATTGTAAAGAGGAGACACATGGCGTTATGGCGCATTGAATGAAATCAATGCTGTTATTACTGGTTTTGTGCCTTTTCCGAGATAACAATCTCTTGCGTTTTTTGATACGCACTGTATTATCATCGTTGAAATATTTGATCCATCAAATAATGAAGTGAGAAAGGGATGGATGAGCTAGTTCAAATTTTAAATACAGTAAAAGTAGTTCACTTTTCTTTAATTTTCATAAACCCTTAACACCCTTTCGCCTATTGATGTCGCAAATTGCAGTACTTTTTAAATGTGGGTTAAATTTTAAAGATTGGGTTTACTGGGGCAAGGGTTAGATGTTGAGACCTTTTTAGAAAAGAATGCAAATTGCAGTACTATTTAAATGTGGGTTAAATGTTAAAGGTTGGGTTTACTGGTGCAGGGTTAGATGTTAAGACATTTTAAGAAAAGAATATGCAAATTGCAGTACTATTTAAATGTGGGTTAAATGTTAAAGATTGGGTTTACTGGGGCAGGGTTAGATGTTGAGACCTCTTTAGAAAAGAATATGCAAATTGCAGTACTATTTAAATGTGGTTATCTAGTAGCAGTTGTGTAGCAGATTGGTGATTTAGTAAGTATCTGCAATGGGTGATGAGGGGGAACCCTGACACAGAAACTCAGGTGAGATCATTTCAATTTTCTAAAGAGTAAGTCTTTCCATCATGAGTTCCATTATGCTATCATGTATCCATATTAATATATAATGGGACTTATGGGAACCATCAGTGAATAGATAACTATTTAAATGTGGGTTAAATGTTAAAGATTGGGTTTACTGGGGCAGGGTTAGATGTTGAGACCTCTTTAGAAAAGAATATGCAAATTGCAGTACTATTTAAATGTGGGTTAAATGTTAAAGGTTGGGTTTACTGGTGCAGGGTTAGATGTTAAGACATTTTAAGAAAAGAATATGCAAATTGCAGTACTATTTAAATGTGGGTTAAATGTTAAAGGTTGTGTTTACTGGGGCAGGGTTAGATGTTGAGACCTTTTTAGAAAAGAATATGCAAATTGCAGTACTATTTAAATGTGGGTTAAATGTTAAAGGTTGGGTTTACTGGGGCAGGGTTAGATGTTAAGACATTTTAAGAAAAGAATATGCAAATTGTAGTACTATTTAAATGTGGGTTAAATGTTAAAGGTTGGGTTTACTGGGGCAGGGTTAGATGTTACGACATTTTAAGAAAAGAATATGCAAATTGCAGTACTATTTAAATGTTGGTTAAATGTTAAAGGTTGGGTTTACTTGTGCAGGGTTAGATGTTAAGACATTTTAAGAAAAGAATATGCAAATTGCAGTACTATTTAAATGTGGGTTTAATGTTAAAGGTTGGGTTTACTGGTGCAGGGTTAGATGTTAAGACATTTTAAGAAAATAATATGCAAATTGCAGTACTATTTAAACGTGGGTTAAATGTTAAAGGTTGTGTTTACTGGGGCAGGGTTAGATGTTGAGACCTTTTTAGAAAAGAATATGCAAATTGCAGTACTATTTAAATGTGGGTTAAATGTTAAAGGTTGGGTTTACTGGGGCAGGGTTAGATGTTAAGACATTTTAAGAAAAGAATATGCAAATTGCAGTACTATTTAAATGTGGGTTAAATGTTAAAGGTTTGGTTTACTGGGGCAGGGTTAGATGTTAAGACATTTTAAGAAAGAAATATGCAAATTGCAGTACTATTTAAATGTGGGTTAAATGTTAAAGATTGGGTTTACTGGGGCAGGGTTAGATATTGAGACATTTTAAGAAAATAATATAATTGTAACAAACGTTTTGGTGATAATTAAGTCTCTATTTATTTTTACATGGTTTAACCTAATATGATTTATTTCTCGTACCATGCATACCTAAAAATGAAGCATTTACAAAATACAATGGATAACACCATGTTCATCAATGTAACAAGTGTCCTGCTATAATCCTTGTTCTTTTTCTAAAAATGTACTAGCATAATTTCACGAAATATTCATTTCTATATTGGAATTTTAGGCTGTTGTAGAATGTACCCAGATCAGCCCATAAACGGGCTCTTGGTCAACCACACACATTCCATGAGTTTGACAACAGGAGGCTACCTTCTGGATCACACTGTCTCTAAAACCTGTGTATGTTTAGCGATAAATTAATCATTTTCCAATAAACTATAATTGTAATCAAGGAACAAAATGAAGATTTAAACATTATCACATGCGTCACCCTTTAAACAACAACATGCTTTAACAAGCTATTAAATGAAGATTTCAATTTGCCAAACTTATGGAGGGGGTGTAATTAGGTCTCCCACACAGGCTTGCATAAACTAATGGCATATACTCAAGTTTTTTAAGTTACTAGCTAGCTATGTCTATCTTAACTAAACAACTGTCGTCACTTCCTGTTCCTGGGTACTTGGAGACATCGATTTTTCTAAACTGTGGTTTCCTTGACCAGAGTCAGGACTATATGTCTTCCTGATGACTATACTGTTGCCTGACTCTGCAAGGCCATTTCCTCCTAAACTATGAGCTGACTCGTCTGCTTTTCTAATGCTGACAATATTTGGCCGTCTTGCCGTTGATGGGCTTTGGCTTCTATGGTTACTGTACACTCTTGTTGGTGATTTGTCTCTTTGGGAATGATTACCATAACAACGCGGGGGAGATCTATCATGTGACAAATATTCTCGTGAATGTGATCTCGAAGGTGGTTGAGGTGGAATAACTGGAATCCCAGGGGGATGAATTGTATTGCTGATGTATTGGTTCCCAGGGGCGTTATATATTGGCGACCCATTAGCTGGTGGTGGGGGTGGGGGTAGAGTGGTCACGTGATGGTTTTGGGTCAAGTAATTGGGTGGTGGTGAGGGTAGTGAGCCGCTATCTGTAGTGTCAGTGACACCTATATTCATTGTCTTATTTGGACTAGGGGAAGCCCTCACTAACGGGCTATGCACGGTTGGGCTGCCAGGAGAGCCAGGGGAGTGTAATAATTGCGAGTGAACCATGCCTGGTTGCTGAATATCTCTCTCTTTTTCGAAGTCCACATCGCATTCATATTGAGCTTGCATTTCTTTCTCTTTTTCTCGCTGTCTTCTCTTATCCTTTTGGTAATACAGTCCTGCAAAGATCAGGATATTCAGGAATAACAGAGAACAGCCGACAGCGATGGTAATACTTAAAGAGAGCTTGTTATCCTTTTCTTTCTGTGGTGCTTTCTTTTTAATAGTTGGTGGTGTGTATCTTGGAGTTGGGGAAGTGGGTGGGAGTGTTTTATTGATTGTTGAGTTTGGTCGGTCGTTAGGAGGATGGTGTTTTGTGGTTTTAGATGGTCGTGTCCTGCGTGGTGGGGGTGTTGGGGATGACGGGAAGGGTGGGGGCTTTGTGATGTATAATCCACTGGCATATGATGACATATTGTCGTGGTCGTTAAGTTGGTGAAGTGGTGCAGTGTCCTCAAATGAATCAGAAGTATGTACATTTGGAATAAGATCTCGCCACAAGGCTATCTTGTTAGCCCTATAGTTCCCCTTTACCTCGGGCCGCATACCTGTAAAAATACATAACAGTTTATGATAATGACTAACTGGCTGGAGCTAAATGGAATATTATAAATTGTTATACTCTACAGGATGACCCAAAAACAGAACCCATAACTTAAACTCAACGATCTTTTAATTCTGTTTTGTTTGTCACTTGGTGCAAGATTTAACTAGCTGATCCTCGATATTGAATAATCATGAGATCAAATATCGGCAGTAGAGCACTTGAAATCTTTGTCGTTATTGTGTTATTCTAAATTAAAACTTAGACAAATGTAAATGTAACTTCATGACTTCATGGTTTCAACACTTATATATTACTTAAAAGCGAATTGTACGATTTTACCATATTTTACCATTTTACCATATCATATTCTATGATAATTAGTTATAATCAAACCTATGTGGAGATAATGTTTGCTTTTGGAAGTAAATGTGGGCCATTGGATATCCACGAAACGATTCTTTACTCTTCCTCCGTGCACGGAACTTTGCTTTATGGGAATATTAGGATCACTGAAATCAATAGAAATATAATTTAAAACATTTGGCCAAGCAGCTTCCTTTGCCGATGAAGTAGTTCTCTCAATGTCGAGACGACGCAAAAGCAAGATTATTGAAACTTTTTGAAAAAATATACCAGCATGTTAACAAACACCTAACAACGGTTTGAATAAATCAACCATTTTCTTTGATTTAAGTTTTGACGAATTGAACGCAATTTCGGGTGAAAGCATCCTCGAATTATGTATAGTTCCTCTCAGATGGTTCACGTCATTTTGAGCTTTGTAAAAGTGTTTGTTAGTATTTTATTGTTAGAATTTCTTAGTATTTTCATCCTTTTCATGAATAACGTACGTAGAAAGCAGTATTTTTATCCATATGAGATGGATGAATCCGCATCGCATTAAGACAAGCTGAATTGCAGCCAATATAAAAATGCCAGCTTTAAGGACAGTACTCAAGTAGATTTTTATTAAAACTGGACAAATATTGTTGTTCATAAAGTATTTCGAAATGTTGACACAGCCATTTTAGTAGAATGTGTCACTATTAAGTTTAATATTAACTACATGTTTATAGATGTACTACCCTGCGAGCAGAGTCTAGTTATAAACTCTGAAAACGAAGCTCTCTTTTAAGAAATGAAGTCGAACGAATGCAAAGGGTATGGATGCACATAGATTTGCCTCAAGTCTCACTGACAAAAGTGTTAATCTGAATAAATAAATAAATAGTACCAAATAAATAAACAAAATTATTTGTTTCTTCTGATCTGTAGGGGTTTGCATTATTTATAGGACTATGTCAAGTTTTGCCCTGGAACCTAAAATACAATTTCAATCTAACGAAATAAGCTGTGTAACAGCCAGGGGAAATGAAGTGCCATCTTTTTAATTCTTTAATATTTCTTCGTCAATATAGAAATGGTCTATATAGGCTATGGCTGCCATCTGGCGGCAGATATGTGGTGTCATTCACCATTTAAGGTGTCACTACGGTTATTCATTGAAAACTATTGAAAAAAATTCACAAAATTCAAGTTCTTGGGTATGTAACGCAATTTTCGAGCGAATAAACATTTCTTCATATAACATTTATATTTTGTTATTTAAAAAGAGAATCAGATATGGCGAGTACACTAAACAAAAAATTGTTTCAATTTTAGAATATTTTTGGCTCATGTCATTCCTTGCCATGTCTATTTTCTAAAAATCACAAAAGTGCATACTAGGAAAACTAAAGGTTTTTACAATAATGTACTATTTTTCTATAAGAATGGTTGCCATTCTTATTATCTGGGAGAATTTAAACATTTTCACTCATTTTTGCCCTTTGAATCATTAATAACTTCACACCAATTTATAATATATTGTGAATCTTTTGGGAGATATTGTATTTGATATTGTAAGGAATAGATTGGTAGGTCAATTATACATGTTGCTTGTAATTTTGTCACCCCCTACAGATCAGATTCTGCATTTAATCTTTAATAAGCATGCTCATGATCCCTATAATATGTTATATTTAAATTTATGACGTTTGTCAGGGAAGTAAGAAACTAGTACAATGATCATATAAATAAAGTAGGTCAAAACTAGGAAGAATGATCAATCCAAATTTCTTGCAGGACGCAGTGACTGATAATGAAAAGAAATAGGAGGTCGATTTATAACAAGAAACCACCTACCCTGTTTTGACAAAATTCGACCAGAAGCGCATAATTGCTTCGGCCAGCATACGTTCTGACCGAGTGTACACTGATTGGAAAGGATCAATCCCATCAGCTAGTGGAGCACCAAAAATATATAACAGATCATCTCCATCCACTCCACCCGCCCATCGAGGATAACTATCCATCCGTGACGGATAACTGAATCCGTAGAAATATGTGTTGTTCCATCTAGAGTGGTATTCGGCTACCTCCATCATTGGTGTGACGTACTGTCCGTCGCTAAGCATATCCATTACGCTATCACGTATCGCTTTTGGATCACGATGGCGTTCATAGTCGGTGTAGTGATGTGATAGAATATCATAGATTTTTTGCTTATGGTATTTATAAATGTTACGTATATATGTGCGAACTATTTTTCTTTTTCTTGATTCTGTTATTCCGTGTTCAATTTCGTCTTGATTAAAATACATAAATCCTTCATTTCTCATAACACCCAGTAGGACATTGGAGTCACCAAATGTTGAGATCGGCTTTTTCATAAGCCTCTCGACGTCCTTTGGAAGCACAGTGCGTCTATCAACAACTGGGCCAAAGCCCGTGAAATATTTTGGGGGTTTTATTTGAGCCTTTACAAGGTCCTTATATGGAATGTCCTTGAAACATAACAGCAGACGTCTGGAATCATCCAGCGCATGCGAACAGTTCACTTTGTCTGCCAGACGTTTGGTGTAATGAAGTGGATCGTGCGAGATCGCCCAAGTCGTTAAAGCAGACCCACTGAGAAGAATGGCATTCTTGAACAAATTGCTTTCAGCACCTGTAACGTCAATACACATATTTAAAGGTGGTTTGGTAAAAAAATGACCAAGTAAAACCTGTCTAATCCGAACGAAACTGGGATCGGGCAAATCGGGCTTCACATTTCAAAGTTTTTTCTTGATTTTCTAATATATGAGTCAATGGGAGATCACAAAATTTGAACCTAGAAAGTGTTCACATTTTTCCGATCAGGAAGGTGCATTGGATCCACAGGTTTCACTGTATTTTTCAAATAATCGTTTATTGTTTTACACACTGTCGTCTACGTTACTTGTTGTTTAAAATGTTTTGAGGCCTGGGTGTTATGGTAAAGAGGGTTCTTGATGACCTTTGAATGATACGGCTGTGTTTAATGCAAATTGATTACCACCTACATGATGTGTGAGATTATCGAAAATATGCATTATTCCTCAATATATCTACGGGTCCTAATTCCTCATTTATGGATTTATCAGACTTGGAATGCCAATGTTTTCATTGAGTGTTTTTGTATACAAATGCATTGTAATGCAGAGATCTAGTGACTATTAACACAAATACGCACGTATTGTAGTTTGCACTGCCATTTAATCAATGAATTTAAGGCAGTTTGTGTATGTCAGGGTGTCCTAATAAGGGGATCCATGTCTTGATCATGCAATCACGTTTTTTGAAGAACGTCTGTGAGCTTTTACCTTGCATTATTTATACGTTGTGGATACCTTTTGTCGATAGATTTGTGTGTACAAAGAGCCTTCTTGTCTCATACATCATATAACTTTGCATTTTAATTCAAAGGTGTATGACAATGCTAACATGCGAGATATAGCATGGCTTTCCAATCAGTTCTGTTGTGTAGCTATTTTCAAGTTTCAGTCATTCATTTCTTTATCATTTTTCTCAAAATCAATTACTTGGTGAGGACGAATTATTTCTAACTCAACATTTTTCTATGATTACAAATGGTACTAGGGTTATGGATCGGCCTCTATCATTGAACACTACCTTTAGTTACATTGAGTCATTATTAAACATTACCTTTAGTAACTGGAGACACGAGTAGCAGATTAACAAGAGCAGCACCATAACCTTGGCCCATGACCGTAATCTTTTCGCGGTCGCCATGGAAAGCGCCAATATTGCCCCTAATCCAGTGAAGGGCCGCTGCAATGTCCAGCAGTGCATAGTTACCCGGGGCCTCGCTGTCCCCAGTAGTCAGAAACCCTGCAATTATTAATGAATATATAAACCAATATAGGCGATGCATGCTTTATTTCACTCTTATTTAGGTAGTCTAACCGACCTATCCCACATGGTTTTAATGTACCCCATAGTAGTCTATAGTGGGGTTACAGTTGCAAGGACTTTACGTTTGTCTATATAGGTCAAAGAATGACTGTCTTACTTTATTAACAAGAGGAAAGTTCGGCAAAATTGAATACAGGGCACTCTATCATAGAATGGAACGGATATCAAGTTTACAGATTTTTAGAGAGGTCAACTAATAATGGTGAGTATTTGAATAATTTCATCCAAATCTCAAATTAAAAAAATGTTAAGCAGCCATATCAATGACATATTTATCAATACGTCCTTGGGTGCCAAGAGCCAATTATCGACGAGGTCTTGTAAGTCAAGATCACTTCTGAGATATAGCATTTAACTTTTCCTAATACCTGTAATGATATATCGAAGAGCTCCGATTAATAATTATGTATTTATTTGAAAGAGCAGTGCACTTTGGTCCCTTCGCAATGTAATGTTAAATGTTACATAGATAACAACGGTGAAATAAATTATATATATATTCATCATGGGATAGACGTATTTAAAAGTGTTATTATTCAATTTTGAGAAAAAATCATGATGATTGCTATATTTATTTTATGATTGTTTTACGAAAAGATATTCCCCTTTATGGTATACTTATTGATTAAATAATTTTGATTCCCGACTAATATACTTTAATAGGTATATAAATATAGCATATTATTAGTTGAGCGTTAATAAATACTCTAGATAAATAAAAAAGACAAAGTTCACTGACCTAGTTCTTGTACTTTTAAAATATAGGTCACTGAATATTCCTAATTTCATACATTGTAGAAAATCATTAACCCCCAACTAGTGATTTAGATAGATTAGATCATCCTTGCTGCAAATGAAGTCCTTTGAAGAAGGATGGATTAGATAGACTCTTTGTGCAATATTACAAGATGTAGACCATCACGCGGTCCTAACTTCGACCGTTAATGAATTTTTGACCTACCAGGTGCTTGAAAATCAAGGATTGCAAGTCTCATACTTCATCGTTTTTCTTCAAACTTATACCATTAAAAGCAGAACAAAATTGCCTTTCTGTCGGTGCATTACTCTATTGTTAGAAGGCCTTCTTACAGCTGGGGACCAAAATGCCGCTGGAAGTAGGGAGTCTGTTGAAGAGAATAATGGACCATCGGAAAGGAATTTGTTTTATGCTTTGAATGGAACAAGTTTGAAGAAAAACGGTGCAGTATGAGACTCGTAATCCTTGATTTTCAAACATCCGGTAGGTCAAAAATTCAAATTAACGGTCGAAGTTAGGACCGCGTGACCATGTATGGAATGAGCTATATGAACCTGAAAAACATGAAACTCCCAATAGGATCGGATTAAAATATCTGAACATACGGAACCACCTTAACGATTTGGAATTTATTCATTACCGTTTATAAATGCTATTAAACCCTACAAATGGTTAAAAATCGTGTAGTTAACTATAGTATAAGATCGGTCGTGGTAACCTTGTTAAGGTACCTATAAGACACAAGGATTTACCTAATGGTCCCAAACGGTAGTTAAGTGTAATGACGATAATCTGACCAAAGCTAGCGAGCACAGAGCCATCGTAAGCATTCCCGGTCCCAGATTCGTACGATTCTCCATGAATGAAAACCAACACGGGATACGGGTCTCTTTTGGTTGAATTTTCACCTGAAAATACATGTTTGGATTAATATATAAAGTTGGACATTTATATACGATGTTCTATGGACAGTTTAATGTTAAAATCAACGTGCAATAATGGGGCACACGTGTTAGTGATGTTGTGTACCAAGACAAGTTCGTTTCTATTGCTCTGTAGTCTACTCCCATTATATTATTGTACATGTGCTTACATACTAGGTGCACCAATAGATTGTATCCAAATGAAACGGAAAACCTTCATCGAAAAAAGCTGAACTTTTGACATGATAAAATTTTTTCTAATTGGCAGTTAAAAATTCATAGAAATGTCATGTGACGATCGATGCAGAGCTGTAGGCAATTCCAAAATGGAGTAATAGGTAATGGTACCAAAACAATTTTTTCCTCAAAACTCTTTAAGAGATACGTGGTGCAACTTCCAGAACTTCCTCCTCTCTAAGAGATACGTGGTGCAACTTCCAGAACTTTATGATTACTAAATTTGTCTGTCCGGTAGCCAAAGCTCAAGAATAGACGACCTTCCATCATTCACAGAGTTTAGTTTGTCAAAGTACAATATTTGGCATACCCTGTATATGCATCTGATAATTAATGTATATATTATGTATGTTATCCCGAAATAGATACTCAATTCCCCAAACAAAGAGAAATACTAGTGCACTTAATGCGTATGAATTAATAATATTTAATATTCTAATAAGCCAGAAGGGTCTTCATAGCCTATTCTTTTAGCATTACCCTCGTTACCCGTCCGTGATATACTGAAGATAGTCGAGATGTCCACTACATTCAATCAAGAGCAGTGTAGCCTAAGTGCGGCACTTGGTTGAATTAGGTAAATTACCAGTCGCTTCATTAACTGTGAATTCTATGCATTTTAAGGGTGTAGAATGAGTGTAGGATGATTGATGGGGCACACCTATGTTTACTACCCTCGTACGATCACAGCAAACTCACTTGCAACCAACTTGTGAGAGAATACATTATAATCTACAAGGCAGTGACCCGAGAAGAAGTGTTTATTGCTATTCACAAATGACTAGAATGTAGGGGTTATTGTTTAAAATAAATCAGATAGTTTTGATTCATTTGAGTCACATTTTCACTTATTAGTTCGGTCTTTCTGACATTCCTATTCGATTTTAGCCTGAATGTGTTTTTATATTGGAGTGCAATCAACTTAACTTATTGTAATTGACTATATTTTAAATGGTTTAGAAACAAATGAATGTTCCATAACAATTTAAGCGGCAGCATGACCAATGTGATCTTTTAGAACGGGGAGAATATTGGTTGTCAAATACAACTAATGGCGAATATATTTTGATCTGGAATTCATGAAATTGAAATGAAATTCTAAGATGGCATCCTTTGATTAGCATTAAGATTAATTAATGTGTCTACCAGGACTAGTCTCTCTTGGAACAATATCGCCTGACTTCAACTAATAACGATATTAACAAATCTTCTTCGTGATAACAAATATCTAGGATCAACTTCAAAGCACACGATGTCGTCTGATTTGTCACGGTGGCGTCACGCACGTGCGTTCTGGTCCATTGTGACGTCAGTTTGGTGACACGTCTTAATTGTAAGGGAGACTGTTAATACATTGATCTGATTCAATTTATTCTCTAACATTTGGCGCAGTGATGTATGGTAATATAATTGGAAATGACTTTTATATGTAATTGCTTGTTTCTTGAGCATTTTGGTGCATGTCGGCCGGACGTTTCATTAACATCCGACATGCTGTATTCTCCAGATATAGATTCCAGTAGATAAAACATCAACGGTTGATGGTTAAAGGATTTAGGCATGAAATAAAATGATTAATTGATGAATCTATGCAAGAGTTGTAAACTTGTAATGTCATGTTGTAAAACACGAGCCAAAGGAGAGAGTTTTAGACCAGTAATAGCATCGCTAAAATAACTTGCTTGCTGATTTTGAAAATTTGGCATTATAGATAATAATATTATGGCTTTTTAAAAATGCAATAGCCCATTTTATAAGTACCTAAAGGTGTCTCAAAAAATGTACCCAAAAGTATATCAAGAGCACAGATAAACCAATCACTATTTTCAGACATTTTTTGCATGGTCATGTAACCAAAACATGAAAGTTTTCTCCCCAATACACCATTGTCTTGTCTTTTTGATACTTTGATGCTTTGACCCTTTACCTTTTACACCACATAATCGATGTAACCTCATATTTCGATGACAGCCTGTATCCTTACTGCAACATTGTTCATCACATTTGATAATAATTCTGGTGGAATGTTTTGGATTTCTCTTTGGATGTTGCCCTTAAGTCGTTCTAGGTCTTTTTGCTTGGAATGAGCATTAAAACACTACTTCCAAATAGCCACAGAGAAAGATGTTTGAGGATGACGATGGCAAAACAAACATAGATAATCAGGTCAATTATCGTCAAATGATTCAGGAGTTACCTTCCAGAGTTAGGCAGGCCAAATCATATCCAAATGAAAACACGGTGGCTTCAAATTGATACACAAACAAAAGCTACATTAGAATACCAAGCAATGCAGTTTCTTGAACCTCTGACCTCTCTGTATAAGGGGGCTATAAGACATCGTGAGGGCCTCCCTATTCACCATATTTGACGGCCCAAACTTTTTTCTCTGAGGCTATTTGAAGGAGCATTTTTATGCTAAACCCAAGCTAAGAGACCTAGAACAACTTAAGACCAGCATCCAAACAGAAATCAAAACATTCCACCACATATGTCAAATGTGATGAACAATGTAGTAGTAAGGATGTAGACTGTCATCGAAATATGAGGTTACATTGAATATGTGGTGTAAAAGGTAACGGGTTAAAGTATCAAAGGGGCAAAACTGAATTAAAAAAACGTTCATCTTTTATCTACAAGACCATGCAAAAAATGTCTGGAAATATTGGTTGGTTTGTCTATGGTGTTGATATACTTTTGGGTGCATTTTTTGAGACACCCTGTATATAATAAACCGGAATGGCATTTGTAATACTAAAATATAGGTTTAGAATGGGCTTTTTGTGAATGATAAAATCATTTATCGTATGAGCTGTAAAATGAAGTCCGCCCTCTGATTGGTCAGTTCTTGTGCTGTACCAATCTGTATTGCTACTGAGGTTGTCCCCGTTGATCATCTCCGTCGCAAAACAGAAAATATTGATACGGAGGGGACAATCTCAGTAGCAATACAGAGGATCACACGATAAAAACGTTATTGAATGATTTGAAGTGCAATACAGGATATATTCTGTTCGAGAAATGTTGTATTGGAACGAGACGAAGTCGAGTGCCAATACAGAACATCGTTTTTATCGTGTGCTCCTCTGGATTGCTACTGAGATTGTCCCTTCCGATCCGTACCAATATTTTCTGTATTGCGACGGAGATGATCAACAGGGACAATCTCAGTAGCAATACAGATTGGTACAGCACAAGAACTGGTCAATCAGAGGGCTTCATTTTACAGATCATACGATAAAGTAATGTACATATAGCGCGCATACAAAACAAGCGCTACTAAGAGTCAACTTCAAAAACCCGATCAGCTTCAGAGCTGTGTTTAAAACAGGAGATTTGCAATTTCGCATTGGTGTCAACGGGAATCATTATACTCATGTCTATTGAATACTATGCTGAGAATTTTGATTTTGATGCTTTCTGAAGAACATGATGTGTGTCATACATGTTTTAGCTCCAAATATCGTACGAAACAAGCTTGTTTAAAATATGTATCATAGAAAACTAGCTATATAACTATCAATGGCATATAACAAGATGATGTGTAGTCTTTGTAACAGACTAAGTAAACACTGTAACTGAATTCACGTGAGAAAACTACATGCATTTGTATAGGGCAACTTGTGCGTACAGGTTGACGTTTCGATTTTATAGACATTGCTTAAAGTCTCCACTAACTATCTGATTATAATCATGCAATATCTGGAAGGTCCAATTGTCATTAATGTTTAATAAGCTTGGAGTCAGGATTTAATACAAATGCAATTCTACACAACATTTACAGCTCTCGGAGGATATATGTACTCGGACGTTAATCTTTGGAAGTAATTATATCTCATTGGTCAGTACCAGGGATTTTACCTTTTATCAAAATGGCGGATCTTCAATATCATGCAAGCTAAGTGTGGTTAAATGTCAAAGCCCAATATTCAAGGCAAAGCGTTTTATTTTGATGACATAAACCGTCCGCCATTTTATAAAAGAAGGGGACGGTCGTTCCATTCCTTCTAGTGATATTGACCAGTGAGGTCCTCCTAATTATGTATTGCTCTTCAAGTGTACATTACAGGTTCAATACAAGTTTTCATTGGGTGAAGTTTCAGCTGACGCTTAAAGAACACAATCATTTTCGGAGATCTAATTTAAGGCTTTCTTTTATACAGTCTCCATCGTAATGTCTAGGCAAAAAGTAATCTCATAATGAGTACATGTACACGGGACCTATAAATCAAATTAATAATTTATTAAAAATGAATTATATTATTTCAAAACATAACTATTTCAGAAGACAAAAGTGACGTTTTGTAGTTTATAATTACATGAAGAGCCTCGAACAACTGGTAAAGACCATATATCATGATAAAATAGTCTCCAGAGAAACACTTCTGTAACAATGACAAATCAGAAGGGATGGCTTAACCTTTGCCTACGTGCTAATTTTATTCATTGAATTTGCCACTTGTATTAAATAGCAAATGTTTGACCTAATAAACTTGCCAGTATATTTGCAAGTACAAATAGATAATGTGTATAAATCTAATTCCTGAAAGTATACAGCGAATACTGATGCTTTGGTTTAGCACACGCTTTCTGCAAGGGTTTGGCATGAGGTTTCCTCATTGGAAACCCATATGGGACGAAGTGTTTTTATAATTTCAAAGATCAAAACACTTAGAGGATTCCTCTACCAGGTACGCACATGACCAGGGAGGCGGGCAATTTTATAGAAAATACTTCAGGCAGGTTTG